ACCCAAACTCTCCCTTCCCTCCGCTGCACCAAGCACAGTGTTTGCCCTCCATGCATCCTTTCATTGACCTCGCCAATAATAGTGGACCAATTCCACACAGAGTCGATGTACCCCGCAACAAGATCAGAAGAAAAGGGCTTACTTAATTGACCAAGTTGATATTCGGCATCCATGCAACCTTCGGCAAAAGCAGCAATTACTCCACCAGCACTGACGAGAGAGGGTGAAGCAAATGAATCCCTCGTCGTAACTGTAGCAATCCCATCCTTCGGCTGCACCAGCGTCGTCTGCGCCACAAATAGATCGACTTCCTGCGGCAACTCAGCATTTATTAAACCACTCATCGCATCATCAATGGGATTTCCCTTTGGCTCGGTGACAGGCGTGGGCCTTCTTTCGGATGGTGTCGGAGCCACATTGATATTTTAAACGTAAGCAAACTCAGGCTTCGTCTCGGACGTGTTGGTCGCCGTGTTGGATGCGGGACTCGGATCGACGGTGTTGGGTCCGTCAGCCGCCGCAGACTGTCTCCAATCCGCGTTCTTGCGTGACGGCTCAGCATTCACTTGCGGCGCAGTTGTCCCACCAGATTTTGTGTCATCCCTTCACGGGGTGGCGGCAACTGACGGATGCCCGTCTGGTCAGCATCGCCGCTCCGTGCAGGCGGATGGATGGTTCCATCGGGGAAAATAGACGCCACCACAATTCATAAGGGCCGGCGTATTTATGTGTCGTCACATCCATCGTGAAGGCAACGGTGGCCCCTTCCTCCTTCGTTGCACAGCTGGCAGTACAGTTGCTACATGTGTGCACCGCACTGGCCACATGGCACACAGCACACAGCTCACCATTCCTGCCATGCATGCGCACACCAAAGCCACTGAAAGTGTAATTCTCATGCTGAGCCTCAGCACCGGCAGCAGAACACTTCTTCCACGCACGCGATAGCTCAAAATGCCGTCACTCGGAGCACACGACACATCCACCGGCACAACCACCGCATCCGCATCACCAGATACATCTCCAGGACTCCCAGCAGCCGTAACGCACACGGAATTGCAGCAGCAGCACAAGAGGACAAGGACCAACACGCCGCACCGTCACCATCGCAGTCATCGTCATCCACAGTGGAGTCGCTGGAGTCAGTCAGCTGTTCGGTGGGACAGAAAAAAAAGAATGCAACAAGAGGGAGAGGGACGGGGCACAGCGGATACAGCGAGAGAGAGCAGGCAACATGAGGAGAGGGCAGCAGGCCCAGCCGCACAGTTCACACACCACGAGACGGCATCCACGCAAGGAACGCGCACGCCGCCACCGCCTCCAGTTCAGTCCCACGGTAACGGGATACGGCCACAGCCCGCCGCCGGCACACAACGCACACGGAGCAAGCAATCACCCAAAGAGCCACACGCGGAAGCGGATCCTCATCCATCCACGACGCGGCGCCTCACTCCATGCGGTCACACGGAGTGCACTGTTTCCTCAATAGACCTTATTCGTCGTCCATCCCTTAAGGATGCTTCTGTTAGTGATGGGCCTTAGAACACAATAGAAGAAAATGGACAATGCGGTAACGCCGTGACACCGCCAGCCACAATGATTCCCTCATACCGGGACAATTCTCCAATTACGCCTCGTATACACACAATCAATCAACATACCGTATGAAAACCACCCAATATTTTTCACCAGAAGCCAAACAACCCCTTTCCCTCCCTAATTTCTTTTGTCACTGTTAAGTTCGATAGCGTTGGACATTTTGGCATTTGTGTGCGGTGCTGCCGCATGGTGCTGGTGCACCCGCACCGTACGCACACACACACACGTATCCAAAAATACATAAATCCCACAATATTTTTTACCACAAATCAAAATGGCCCGTTCACTTGCAATTTCCTAATCTATTTTCCCATTTCTGTGGTTATTCCTCACTTCGGAGTGCTTCGCCTTTTCTGAAGTCTCTGTACGATATTGCTGCTATGTACTGGCGCACCTCTTCCTCCAGAACACCGAATCTCACGGCTCTCTTCGCTCACATTATCGGAATTGTCGACATCACATCTCTGCCAGTCATCGGCATGCTGTCTGCGTGCTGCACGTAAATAATCCCCCACGACATGTCCCGAGATGATTCCTCCCAACCATTAAAATATGCCGCCAGGCACTCAGTGAACTGCCGCACAGTGCTGGTTGTCGTGTGGTGCTCACCCGCCGTAGCCATCCGCAGCCCAAACAGCGTCACTGATATCTTCACAAAGAAAAAAAAGGCGTCCACAAGCGGAAAGTTTGTGGCCCACGGTTTGTACAGCACCCCGTACTTTATTTTACGGATCGTCTTTTCATATTCACTCGGCAGCAAACCTTCATCTCCCTTGGGATGCAATTCAGGGCAACTTCAAGACGCAGGGCTTTGCTTGGCGTCCTGTTGGCGGCTCAAACTCCGTGAGTTTCGTCGCCATTGCCTTGGCAAAGGCACTCTCCGTGAGCGATTTCAAAACAAACCATCCAAAAAATATTGGCAAAATATTATCCTTCGACGCCAACATCAGCCTCAAAAGCTATTTTATTCTGCTACACTTGGGAGGCGCTCCAATGTCCGTTCCTCTAGGCAAGCAGACAGCGGTGCATTGAAAAGGGTCACACCGCCTGCGTATATTTCCCGAACAACTTTCACAAGCTTGTGGGACGGATCCTCAGAACACCATGGCGACTCACCTCCCCGTGAAAAGCACTCTTTCACAGTTACCTCGCTGATCGATTGCAATGCAAACTTCACCGCTCCACAGCGTTCATTAAACGCCTCCTCATCAAAGACGTGACGTGGAATCGATCACAAAAGATAAATGTGTTTTTTTACCCCTTTCCAGCATTCCGCTTGTTTCTCTTTAGTCTCATCACGCAACATACAGGCGCACATCGCCTTCACATCCACCTCTTCGGGGCAATTCACGATGACTCGCGCGGCTTGTAGTTGCTTCGCCCACTCATCGTAGTTGGTTACCTTTGGGAATGACACCGCAATCATGCCCCATCCAGAAGTAGGCGCAAAATGTCTCGGTGGCGGCGTTCCCTCCTTTGCCACACCGTAGATAATATACACATTCCTCCCATGCCCCCTCAAACTTCTCAACTCCGAGACGCACATGTCCTCATCGCTGCATCTTGTCACCGCTCTGGTGGTCTTGTCAGACACGTACGCATCTCCTCCAAAACAGTGGAATACCACTTGGAGTTTCTTGGCATCGCAGTGCAGCAGCTGGTAGAGGAGGTACGAACCGGCAGCCACCGACTTCCCGATCCCGGGCGTCCCAATCAACACACGTCGCTCGGGCTTACAGTCGGTCCCACCGTGAGGGCTGAACCACGCGGTTACATCGCCCTTGACGGTCCGCCACGCTCGATCCACCTCGCAGTTTACAAAAACGTCCTCAGGAAGATCCTGTATCGTATGCCATGTGTACGGCCATGCCTTCTCCGAGGCAAGCACCATCAACACGGGAGGTGCTGCATCAAATTGCTGCACAGCGTCATTCTCTTCGATAGCGTCGTCAGCTTTCTTGTACGACCATGACTGCTCTGGCCTCCCCTCATGCACCTCCATTCCTGTCCCGTTTTCTTTCGCTCCACGCCGTCCGGAAGTTCCACCGCATGGCTCCGCCCCGCATTTTGCACAGACTCGTACACTCCCTCCAGTTTCTCCGGTGCGCTCGTCGTCGTTGGTTTCCTCGCCTCCTCGGCAGCTGCATCCAAGAAATGTTTGGTGGAGTTGTGAACAGTTGCTTTTACCTCCGCAGCAGCCAATGACCACCCCGGTAGATTGTTGACACCCTTATCGCAAAGCCTGCGTATATTCTCATCGAAGATCACTTCACCCTTCACAGCTCGCTTCATACTCAAATAACGATCCGATGCCTGTATTTCGTTCAGTGCTCCTTTATCACGGATATACTTCGTGGGGTCCTTGAAAAACTCCTCCAGCAAGACATCCCGATTGGTGTCCACAATGTCCCTGCCGTCCAGTTCCCTCGTAAGAAATTCGTTCAGCCTCATTTCATTGACGCGAGCCCTTCCCTTAAACAGTACGTCTTCGATATTAGTGGAAATGGTCAATTTCATTTCCTGCGTTCCTCTTAGCCTTTCCTCTGCCTCCCGCCTCGCTTCTGCCAGTACCTGCGTGAGTACTCCGTTTGGTTTTCCCCTTGCAAGAGGAGTGATCGTATCCTTTTCTTTCATAGTCCCTACGTTGCCCGAGAGAGCACACCTTCGTGAAGAGGCCTAGTAATGGCCTCCAGCGCTTGGTGCGCAGTTAAGTTAAGAATTTCTTCAAGAAGCCGCTGGTCGTGTACGTAATCATCCGGCTCCTGAGCAAACAACTCCATCGTCACATTGTAGTCTTTCATCAACGGCCGCCCTGCCGCCAACATAATTCCAAAGGAAATCACTCAGCCTCATGTTGGTGCTGCTCATGGTCCACTGCGGCCACACTTTACTCCCCACCACATGTCGAGCTGCAGCGTCGGAACCACCAGAAGAGCCGCTGCAGGGTGCCATCACAACACCAGTGCGGTGAAGCATCCCACTCGCACCGCCCAACTGCGGCCAGCAGGTGCCGCTGGCTCCAAAGAACACTCGCGGCTGTTTCGTCCCGCAGTCCCAATGGCGTTGGGCGTGGCACTCGCACGGCTCGGTGGTCGGTGCGCCATGCAGCCGCACTGCAACACCTGTCGGTGAAGCAGCCGAGGCCAACCGCCCCCCAACACCGCCACACTATCGCCCTTTTCTGTTTTTTCACGTTGTCTGTCTGTTTGCCCCATCACCGACACCAAAAACAAGTGCACACCTTCACAAAAGGGAAGGAACAAAGAGAAAAGGAGGCACGATCCCACAGTCACGCCGCGGGTCAACACTCTCGTCCACCCACCGCCATTGCCGCGCAGGGGACCACAGTCACATCGCAGAGTCAGCACCACAATGTGCACCAAACCATCGTGCACTGAACGATGGGCGAGACGCGGCCATGCATCGCCCCGCTCCATTTTCCCACCACTCAAGTGTTGCGTGCCCGCACAAAGCAGCAAACAGAATCAGAGTGCACACAAACCCAATCAATCCCCTCACTCGCTGAAGCACATTATTCGCATGGAGTGACAACATTTGGGGACACACCAGCAGTAGCAGAAGGCATGGAATTTCCCTGCCAACCCCGCGAAGAGACACAACAACTCTGCGGAGTCAAAGCGGCAGCCTCTCGATGTTGCCCGCAGTTCACATGGCAGGAAGAATTCCACGCACGCATAGTTCCGGACACCTCGCTGTTTGAGTGCACATCAACAGAACATGTGAAAAAAATACCTGCGCGCAAGACGGCAATTAAACACGTGAAAAGTCGGTCTGTTTTCTCCGATGGCGCTGGCGAGCAGTCCTACACAATCCAATCAAAGTGACACGCCGGACAGGATGGCGTCCGTCATTTAATTAAAAAAATGCGACACTGAAAGGGAGCAGAGAAGAGTTGGCGCATGCGATTGCCAGCGACAACTGTGAGCAACCCGCCAGCACCAACTGAGGTGCCAAGCAGCACGCTTGTGTAGAACTGGCCGTCAGGCAGAGAGGATAAGCAAAACAAGAGGGCAGCAAACCCTCTCGTTCAATGTCTCCTGACCGCTACACCAGAATCAAAATATCATGGACGATAAGAGCGGCAACGCCTTCTCCAAAACGTCTTGTCAAGAAGCCGCAGGACCTCAGGAAGGGAGAAAGGCAGCGGCGGCAGCCACAGCGGGGGAGGCAATAAAACGGCTGGCAGGCACCTTCACGTCGACGCGCACAACACATCCGAGTGGGCCGGGAGCACAGACCTAACCGCTCGGAAACACACGCATCAAATCCGCAAAACAAAGTGGCAGTGAATCGACAGGAACTCCCCGTCCAAAACAAATTTAAAAGGTGGCGTTCTTCAAGGGGGATCCGCCTTTCCGACGACGGCACGGACGCCTCGCAGTAATTTCTTGCAAATCTCCCTTCGCAGGTCCGCAGGAAAACGCAGCGGAATAAAAAGAGAGCGCAACGACGCAAAAAAATAATCCTCCTAACAGACCAGGTGGCAGGCCGCCCTCGCGCAAGTGTACAAAACACAACTTCACTCCGGTCTTGTCGTGGTGGTCGTCTCGCAACATTTTCTTCCTTCTCGTCGCAGTGCACATCCCCTCCCACAAATCATTTGTTCGAGCCATGTTCCTGCGGCCAAACACCGCGCTGCTGGATCCCGCGGCACAGTCCTCGGCACGGAAGTGAGGGGAGGAAGAGGGACCGCAGAAGGTGCGAGCACATCCGAATTCGGTAGCGGTCGCTGCAGTGAAGACTGACGTCCCACGCGGTGTCCCTTTTCTGGGTCCGGCCCCCACCGTGCCATGCGCTCAGCGTGCGGTGCGCCGGCCGCTCTGAACATCCACACGTGCTTGCGTCTCACAGTCGCTCCCAGCCCCGTTCGTTCGCTGCATCAGGGATGTCGTCATCCGGGGACGGGCATAAGGACGTTGCATCCAACAAAGCCTTCAGAGGCACCCGGTGGGCCAACGACGACCGTCACTGCGGGATGTGCGGCCCTTCCGCCGCTCACCTCAAATCGCACTTCTACGCCTCCTCGAGCAGCAGCAGCCGCATAAATACACCGGTCCACTAGAGGCCGTCACCAGCCATTGCAGGAAGACCACTGTGCCTCGATGCCATGAAACCCGAAATTGCATTGACGGGCCACTTCGGAAAATCCTGTCGCATCCTCCCCCATTATGCGGAAACACATCCATCGTGCATGTGGCCACCGCAGCCAAATGAATCCGGTCCAAATACCCTCCAAACCAAATTCCCCTTTCCGCAAGCCATTCCTTCATTCCATACGCCATGACCCTCATCCGCACGTGCTCACTGACGCAAACCGCCATAGCCAGATGGTGGCCGCCCAACGCTCCGGCAAAACATGTCCAGCACGCACGCGCATAACAAATAACATGCGCAAACACACGGCACGACGGCGGAGAAGTGCACACCGAAAGGATGCGGCCCTCCACAGCCGTCGCAGCCCACCGCGCGCATCACACCCGCAGGAAGAGTGACTCGCGTTGCCCGCTCCCCCTCCTTCCCTTCATGCCCACGGAGGAAGCAGCAGCCACCCGCAACCGCCAGCACACGCCACAAAAGAAGCATCCAAATCGAATGAAATGTGCATGTTGTGCGTGCATGTGGTTGTGTGTGCCTGCAGACACACAAATCAACAAAGTGGAAAAGACGAAGCAGAGCATGTGGAGAGACGCACAAAAATGTACAGCGGAGGTGCGTGGCGGAAACAACAAGAAGAAGACCGCTCAAACTCATGACTGCACTGCCGTCCAAGCAGTGGCAATTCACACAAGATTTAAAACAAAAAGAAAACCATCCCCTTCATCTTACACAAACCCCATCACACAAAATAATTATAAATAAAAAAGAAATCGTCCATTACTGTTCCACACAAATTTAAAAAACCAGCCGGCTGCCGTGTGGCCACACCGAACTGTCTGTATATATTTTGCCCAAAAAATTTAAAAATTAAAAATATATTTAAATGTCCTTCAACCGTCCGACCCTCCATGTGTCCGCACATCGTTTATATTTCATGGGGTCATCTGCGTGTTGCTGCTCCCCTCAGCCCTCTCATCGGCGCGTGAGTGCGGCCCGCAAAGCACAGTCACTCGTGTGTGGGGACTGAGAGAAGCACGCAGACATGACGGGAGTCGCGTCACTCCATCGGGAGAGTGAGCGCAGCAAAAGAAAAAAAAAACGGCGGCAGGGTGTGGCTGTGTGTGTGGCGCTGCGGGTGTCTGCCAGCCCTGGCCGCAAAGAAAACAAAACAAGAGGGAAGAAATGTGTGCTCCGCCCCACAGGCACTCGTCGCACGCCCACACGTCACGGCTCCCTCAGCGCGCCGTTCGTCGCCGCCCCTCCTCATGCGTGCAGCAGGCGAGGCGCACAGGGCCGTCGTCACGAGCGTGTCGGTGGTGTGCGAGTGGAGCAGTTGGGCGGGAAACACACGGCACCCCTCGCAGGAGGAGTGCAGCAACAAACAATTAGAAGAGTAGAAAAGAAACAACGTCCATAGTGATTGCCCCAAAAAGCAAAAAGCAAAAAAAGAAGATATGGGGAATGAAAAATAAAAAAAACAGACGAAAATTAATAACAGAAAAAAAAAAGTTTTTAAGGACACACACGCAACACGCAAAAAAATTATGAATTACAAACAGAAAGCAAGAAAAGAAAATTATCTTAAGGAAAAAGTTAGTTCTTGGAATTAATTCCGTGCAGGGGAGTTTGCAAGTGTCCCACGCGGCAGCCATTCACGCCTCACAGAGCCGTCAACCCCCACAGTCCCAACAGCAGAAGAAGTGGCAGCAGTCCGCTCTCACGTTTGGTGCCGGCATCGGTGTTATTCCCCTGCGACACATTTCCGAGACTGCTGCTGAGGGCCGCAGCCTTTACGTCCCCGTTCTGTGCGTGGATCTCCTCCTCCTGCCCATACGTTCCTCCTCTTGTCTCCACCGTTGGGTCGCCATCAGAAAAAGAACCGCCATCCACAGTTTGAGTTCCATCGGAAGATTTTCCTGACGCCACCTGCTGTAAGGAGTCCTTTCCTGCTGAAGGAGTACTGACAGTGGGCACCGCTGATGGTGATGCACCGCCACTGCCCGCGCCACTGCCCGCACCTTTACTGCTCCCCAACGACTGTCTCCGTTCCGTCAGATGTTCTCCGTCAAGAGCAGACGAAGTTCCAGCTTCCTGAGCATTCGGGGTCACCGGAGGAGTGGGGTCTTTATTCGGGTTAAGCGCAGTAATCTCCGCTTCATCCCACGGGCGGTTGTACAGCAGGACGTTCGTCACAGTCACAGACACTTCTTTGTTGGCTGCGTTTTCTCCATCCCCTCCAATGTAGAAGTGGGAGATCTCTTTCGACTCACCATTGCCCAATGCACATTCTTCATTCCCCACTCGCTGACCATCGACGTACACGGAGCCCTGGGTGCCGTTCTTCAACAAAACCACCACGTGCTGCTGAGGTGTCCCTGTCTCCCACGTGCTGCTGAGCTCCTTAGGGGTTTTGTCACCGCACAGTACATGCCACTTCCTTTCGCTGTCGTATGACAACTCCAGAAGTACATTATTTTCATTGCCATTCATCTTCGCACCCATCAACGGAATGGGGGTGTCTCCCTCCTGCGGCACATTGTCGATAAACACCGTCGCCACAAGGGTGAAGTTGTAGTTCGCAAAGTGGTACAGCTGATTCTCCCCCTGCTTGCCAACAGGCCACTCCGCCCCTGCACCACGCCCAGTGAACTTCACACCATTTTCCGTGCTGGTCACTGTTGCCGCTGCTGCCCCTTCTTTATTATTTACTGTGGCGTTCACGCCGAGGTACTCATCCCTCCATGTGTTCCCAGAAAGTTTGCCCGACAAAAAGCCAACCAGCCCAGCCGTGATCTTATCAGCGTTGCAGACATCGCCGGTTGAGGCACGCTCCTTCTCAGTACTTAATGAGGTGCACAGCTGGGAGACACGGCCGTCCACCTCCTTCCAGGTCGCCAGCACATCCTTCACACGCTTCAGCTGCTCTGTCAGAAACACAGAGACCATACCGGGTGATGGTTTCCCTTCCTTCTTCTGCCTCTCGTACAGTGCAATCAACTTCTCATTATCATCAGTATCATCTTCACCTGTACCACTGTTGTACAACAGGGAGCTGGCGGTAATCTCTTCGTCATCATCACCGGATACCGGCCCAATATCAACAATGTGCGTATTGTCCGTCAGCCAAAGATGGAGTTTGCCCTTTTCGTTGCCGTTATCAGCATACACCGGCAGGGTGACGAGCATCACTTTTTTATTATCACCATCATCCCCAACAGTCGCTGTGATGAACCCGCTCCCAACTGCCTTCGCTTTTCCGTCCTTTCTTTTGTTGCCCCACACGCGCGAGAGTGTCCCGAGGGCCTCCGTCCACGACTCCCCCTTGTCAGCGGACTCGTACACCCTGCGAGGGCCACCAGCACACGCAGTCATCATCATGAGTTTTCCCTCCTCCCACTCCACGACGGAGGGATCGCTGCAGCCACCGTCAGACATCCCCTTCGACAGCGTCCAATCCGTAGCTTCCTTCGACTGTATGATCAGTGAGACAGTCTTCACACCCTCTTCAGTGCCCTCCGCCTTCTTCGTACCTTCCACAGGGAACACAAGAGTCTCATCCTTCATCTTAACACCCGATCCACCGCTTCCAATCAGCCTTGTCCAGGAATCGGGCTGTGTGCCAAAAAGTCCTTGCGGGAGATTTTCAGTATCTTTCCAGTCAATTTTCTTGTTATTTGTACCCCCACCACTGACGCTCCCTTTCACCAGCAAAAGTTCACAGCCACCTGCACCACTGTTCTGACAATCTTTACTGCTGTGCTGTCCAACAAGCATGTAAATATCACTTCCCTTCAAAACTGTTGTTGGTCGGCTCACATCCACTTTCTTCTTTTGACCTTCGGAAGCACCTTCCTCCAGTACTTGTGTCTTCTTTAAGGCATCACTAAACAATTCCTCCGGTGTGTCAGCAGTTTTTTTCGTGAGAGGTTGAGATGCAACGCCAGTAAAACCGCCTTCACCGTTCTTTTTGCACTGCGCCTCGGCAACGGCAAACACGTCATTCCCCACTTTTAGAAGGCTGGGAGCACCCAACGACTCCACAGTTACATCATCACTCTCATTGATGCCCCTCCATTCAAACTGAGGACCAGATGACTCCCCCGCAACTCCCGCAGCACCACTGCCGCAGCACACCATCACGACGAGGAGGAGCACCGCAGAGTAGAAGAGATGCCGGGACATGTTGGGCCTCTGCGGCTCACTCTCTCCTCCTTCCCTCCTCCTCCCGCTGGATCCGGTCACGCGGCGACGGTTGTGTGTGCGGGGTGCCTTCACTGCAGCAACACGTGAGAGCATATAAATATTTGCCTGTGGGCGGTGTGTGTGCTGTTGGTCCTTTCAGTGCCTTACAATTTCACAGTGGCGTTTAGCGCTTGTTATTAACTTCTTTCCTTTGTGTGTGGGTAAGAGAGAAGTTAAGAAAAAGGAGTGAAACAGTGAACACCGCCTGCGTCCACAGTGAGTGGCATCATCATCGTCATCCCTGCCGCAGTCACCCTCAACAACAACTCACGCACGCAGACACATGAAACGGGAAGGATGAACAGTGCAGCGGGAACACATGGCGACGGTCATCACCAGCAGCAGCAGGAGCCACGCCCGGCACGTCGTTATTCGTCACGCGTCAGCACACACTGAACAACGCCCTCACAAAAAGAAAAACCAGCAGGATAAAAAAACACAGCCGCCCTTCACGGCACACACGCGCTGCCGCCAGTCGTTTTACTCTTGTCTCTTCCAACGCACCCGCACATCGCCCCGCACAGCCGGTGAATCCTCCGTCGGCGTACGAACAGCGGGAGGAACACGTCAAACCGTGCAGCTGCTGGGCTGAAGCCCATCCGCAACAATCCCAGACACCAAAACGCCACGCCGCCCATGGGCAGCAAGCCTAGGAAACCACGCCGCAGCACGGCAACATAACAATTCGCGGTCATCCGTCATCCCTCCTCGCAAGGGCAGCCGCAGCAAGAATCGTGTACGTGCGTGCGTCCTCAGCGTTCACGCCGCCCCACAGCGTGCGCAACATGGCGTGTGCATCTGCTAGTGCGCTTGTCAGCGTGTACAATTGCAGAGCAGCTGTGCGGCACAAGAGAGTCCCAACAAAGCAAAGATAGGGAGAGGCGGATAGCACACACGCAGATTACTCTTACCATCACACACGCACGCAGCCGGCGGAATGGGTGCACTCAACAACACAATGAAAAATAAAACAAAAAGAAGCGTGGGACGACCAGCGCACACACACTCTCATTACTCCCGTAAAGCAAAACACACACACAGAGGGAGAGAGAGAGAGGTCGCCCACTCAATGCAATGGAAACAAAACAGAAACAGTTACGGTGCTCCGCCCATGCAGCCAGGCAGGACGGCAGCGGTGCGTGTCGTGCAAAAGAGAGCACCAACGGGCCTGCATGGGTGTGCATGCATATATACAATGGGCACATTATTGTGTGTGCCTCGTGGGGTGAGGTGAGGGCGAGAGTCCATGCAAGGGGACACACGCACAGAGAGAGAAGGACGAGTGTGTGTGCGGGCGGTGCACGGCTCTCTCCCCCTCACTCTCACGCGGCCACCACAGCAGCAGCCGCACACGCAACAAGAAGAAGCAAAAGAGGGGAGGTGGTGTGGGACACCGCGGTGATGCCGGCGCTGTCAGCTGGTATCTCTGTATTGATTGTTTTATTGGTGGCGGTCTCTGGTACTGTTGTGTATCTCTCATCATTATCTGCCTCAGTGTTCCTGTCTCCCGAGGCGGCTTCAAATTCGGCGGTCTTACCGTTGCGTGCCACGTCATCATTGACGTCGTCGTTATTGGCCCGTTCAAGGTCACCCGCATCACCAGAGGTTTGAGTGCTTCTTGTGCCAGCGGTAGTCCTTTCAGCAGTAGGAGCTGCACGGCTGCTGTCGTTGACGTCATCATACGTCGTGGCAATTATAACTGCGTTGGGTATTTCCTCTGATTGCAATTCGGTGTTGCTGGCTGGCGGAGCAGCGGGGCCAGTATCTCCCTCGGAATCATGTTGTGTCACTGAGGCGGCAGGAGGCGTGGGATTGTTAGCACCACTGTTCTCCACCGTGCTTGCGGCAACGCCACTGCTGTCTGTGGAGGTATATAATGGTGTTGTACTCTCTCGACTCAAATGCGATACGCTCTCCGGCGACTGCAAGGAGGATGCTCCTTCCTCGTGCTTTGTTGAGCCTTTCGTTTGTGGCATCTTCGTTTCGTGTGAGTGACCTCCGTCTTGTGGCTTTGAATGTTTTTCCGCTGTAATTGCTGGATGTGTTTTTTCTGACTGTAATGTGTTTGTTCCCTGGTGG